ATAGATCCCCTCTCTTGACCTAGCAACTTCAATCCCAAGAAAGTATCTCAAATGGCCCAAGTCTTTGATCTCAAATTCAGAAGCTAAAAACTCCTTTAGTCTTTTGATCTCTTCCAAATCATTCCCAGTAATCACCATATCATCCACATAAACAATGAGTGTTGTAAGTTTGCTATCCTGTCTCCTTATGAACAAGGTATGGTCTGCACCACTCTGAGTTTACCCCACTTTCTTCATGGCCCCACAAAACCTCTCAAACCATGCACGAGGAGACTGCTTTAGGCCATATAATGCTTTCCTCAATTTACACACATTTCTATCAAAGTCGTAGCCTGGTGGAGGGTCCATAAATACCTCTTCATGAAGATCACCATTTAGGAAGGCATTCTTCACATCCAGCTTATGAAGTTCCCATGAAAAATTTGCTGCTAATGACAGTAAAACCCGAATTGTGTTGAGCCTCGCTACTGGAGCAAAGGTTTCTTTGTAGTCAATCCCTTCTTTTTGAGTAAACCCCTTTGCCACAAGCCGGGCCTTGTACCTTTCAATGGACGCGTCCTCCCTATGCTTTACAATGAACACCCACTTGCACCCGACAGTGCTCTTCCCTTCTGGCAGATCCACTAATTCCCAAGTCCTTGCTTTCATTAAAGCTTTCATCTCTTCATTCATAGCTTCTTTCCACCTTGGGTCAGACACAGCCTCTGAGTACCTAGAAGAAACATGTATAGTGGAAAGAGCAGACACAAAGGAGTGATAGGATGGAGATAAACGCGAGTAAGAAACAAAATCAGCAATGGGGTGTCGAGTAGTACAAGAACGGATAGACTTACGCAGAGCAATAGGAAGATCCAAATCAGAAGTATGTGTGTTGGGATTACCTTGGATTGCAGAGACAGATTGATCCGAGTCCAACTGGTTGTTGTCATGAGTTTGAGGGCCCTTTTTTCTTCTGTTGTAGGCGATTCTTATATCTTTCTGTTGCCTACTAGAGCCCTCAAAAACATCTGCAGTATCAGGAGAGGTAGCAGGCACAGTGGGAGCCTCACTAGGTTCACCCGGGATGCCACAACTAGGAGTAGAAGGAGATGATGGAAGGCCCAAGGCAGATAGAGGAACAAAAAAGAAGGGAGAATAAGAATCTTCTTCCATCCCACTAGTCTCCCCTTGTAGAGGATTCTGGGAAGACTGAAAGTAGGGTTGAGACTCAAAAAAGACAACATCTCTGGTGACATACTTTCTCTTGGTGACAGGATCATAACACTTGTAACCCTTTTGTGTAGGAGAGTACCCCAAAAAAATTCCTTTCGTAGCCCTAGGATCCAGCTTGGTCTTCTTTGGATCCTTTACATGTATAAAACATACACAACCAAAGACCGTAGGAGGAAGAGGAAAGTCTGGAAGGGTAGGACACAGAACAGAGAAACGGGTTTTCATACCCAACACCTTAGCTGGCATCCGATTTATCAGATATGATGCAGTAAGAACTACTTGAGACCAGTAGTGCTTGGGAACCTTGTGCTGGAATAGTAAGGCTCGAGTTGTCTCCAATAGATGTCCATTCTTGCGCTCAACAATCCCATTCTGTTGAGGGGTATTAGCACAAGATGATTGATGTAGCATGCCAGCATCTTCCATGAACAAGTTCAAGGATTTTTCAAAATATTCAGCAACATTATATGACCGGAATTGCTTAATCTTCTTGTCAAATTGTGTTTCAACCATTTTGCAAAATGCCATGGTTATCTGTGGCACTTCATCTCGTCCTTTTAACAGGTAGATCCATGTGCATCAAGAGTAGTGGTCAATAAAACTGATAAAGTAACGAAAGCCATCAATAGAAACAATAGGTGAAGGGCCCCAAACATCAGAATGAACCAAATCAAAAGGAGCTTGAATTTCATTACTGGAAACTGGATAAACAGTTCTACATTGTTTTGACAGTTGACATACTTCACAGACTAAACTCTGACTTGAAATGCCCTTAAAMAATTCGGGAAACAACACTTCYAATGAAGAAAAAGGTAAATGACCTAGCCTAGCATGCCATAGATGCAACCTAGCTATTGACTCCACATTCTCCGGACCACTAGCAGCAGATGCTTGTAAGGCTGAACTGATGTCTGCAAAATAGTAGAGGCCTCCATACTCATGACCGCTCTCAATCGTTCTCCTCGTCAATCTGTCCTGAAAGACACAATGAGTAGGAAAAAAGGTTATGAAGTTTTGAAACAGACAAAAGATTTGAGGTAAGACTAGGAACATGCAGAACTTATTTAAGAGAGAGGTCCTTGCTTAGGTCAACCACCCCTTTGCCAGAGATGGTGGAGAAAGACCCRTCASCAACTCTCATCTTATCCTGACCAGACAACAAGTGATATGAAGAGAACAAGGACATATGTGTCATGTGGTCAGTTGCACCGGATCAATAACCCAAGAAGTAGAGTCAATAAGAGGACTAGTTGCACTAAAGGCAGAGACTATACCTGATCTGGCAAGAGAGGTGGAAGCAAAAGAGTTATTCCTTAGACGGGCTAAAGCCCGGCTAAGGACCTCTACCTCACCAGCAGTGAAGCCCAAGGTACCGGCTCCGAAGGAATTAGCAACCTGCCCCATGGAAGAAGCCATTGTTGGTATACTCTGTGAGCTATCACCATTGTTACTAGTGACAAGGTTCCCACTTG